AATTTTTTTATCGGAATAAAATCGGAATTTTTGCTGTTATCGTGATAAAAATTTACGATTTGATATCGGAATTTTTCTGGGTCTCTGATACTCGCATATAGACTGAATTATCATATAGTTATTTTTTTTTTGAATCACGTGGGTGGCTTAGACAGTTATGATAACTGATCACCTGAATTGCGCAGTATATCTGCTGAAGAATAAGGGCTGTGTGACATGTGAATTGCATATATATTTGCATTATTTTTTTTGACTTTATTTTTGCATGTCATGTCTCCGGCCACACTATTATCATATCAGTAAAACAATATTCGGGTATGGATATTTTTCTGACAATCCTTATTTTGCATATAGGATTGGAGATATCTATGCTAATCCTTCGTTATTTTTATTGATTTGCAGGGAATTAATGAATGACGAAATGCAGTGCGTAATTGCTAGTGAAAATCCGGTAAATGTTTTCTCCTACGAAATTTACAAGTGATATAAAAAAGAATGATCATTTTTTCGCTTAAGACTCTTCAGCCATACACAAAGACGTATAGATAGAACACACATCGTAGCGCTTGCAAAAAATATCCTCTATTTTACTAGCACTCTTGCTATGCATATCGATATCCCGGATGTGAATCCATGCTCATTATGTGGAAAAGAGATTTATTCACTCGCATCGAACCCTTCACACAAAGAATTTACCCTAGCTTCATGTGGGCACATTTTTCACTAGAAGTGTCTCGAAAAGTATCTGGTGAATGGAGAAGCGCGATGCCCGAATAAGGATTGTAATAGAGATATTGAAACTTTTCTCTCTCCAGATTTTTTTAAAGAAAAGCCAATGGATTCGGAGAATCAAACTCCCGTGGATGATGATGTAACACTAATGGACGAACTAGGATTATTAGGTGGAGAGAAACAAAGTTTGTCCAAGACTACTAGGATCACTAAAGAAACTTTCAACCAGGCAACTAGCTCTATTAAGGTTGTGAGCACTACACCTGGCAATTCTGACAATTTGGATGACTCGATTTCAAAGGACACTAGCAGTCAAATCCAACGTTCTATATGTGAACAATGTTCTGAAGAAATCTCCCTAGAATTCATGAAACCAACTATTTTTTTACCCTGCAAACATGTTGTGCATTACGCTTGCATCAAGAATTCTCAAAAGATGTGTCCTACCTGCCCTTTATCTGAAACGATGTCAGAGGTATCAACTCTAATAGAACAGGATCTGAGTGATGCACAGAAAAAATGTACTAGGGAATCCATCTGCATTTACCGAAAAATCGTCTAGCAAGAAAGCGAAAAAAACTGGTGGGAAGAAAAAGGTATCAAGCACGCTAAAACAACTTATCAAAGAATTATTAACTGATATTCCTGATGGTGGTAGGAGCTTGGAAGAAATAGGTGAAAGCGTAAGTAACTTTTACAACTCTCTGAAAGAATTGATCATGCTGAAACTAAAAACGAAGAAGCATCTCGAGGACCCATTTCCAGTTATTTTAATTTTGGGGAAGCTGTATTTAAGCGATACAAGGAATTAAAACCCGAGTTTGGCAAGGATGAATCTGAAGCGATAGTTAAAAAAAAGGTTAGGATGGCGATTTTCAAAACAAATGCTCTGATAAAGCTTTGCGAAAAAAGACAGAGAGATCCGAAAAGGTGTATAAGCTTTTTAATACTATAGGTAAAGAAAAAATAGCTAAGATTAGATCTATTCCCCATCATTCATCTTAAATCTAACTGCAGATGAAACCAAATATGTAATAGCTGAAATTTTAACGCATAAGGTTTGATGAGCTCAGACAAGCTTGTCCAGCCTCGACCATCATTTTTAAGAGAATATTTTTCTTTTGAAGACTAGCTAAAACGATTTAATAAAGTTCTGCCCACAATTTGGGGCTTATATTTTTATTTGCTTTGCAGATGTATATGAGTATGTGTAATATATGTAATAAATAATGTTGTAAAATATGTGAAGTACTGTGCTATAAATTAACATTTGATATACTGTATTACGTCACATGATTCATTCTTCTGCACAGTTTTGACGAGCTCGGACAAGCTTGTCCAGACTCTACCATCAGAAAAATAATCTAGTTATATACACAGCGCTTTCAGAGATAAATTTAACCTGAGCTCAGAAATATAGGTTTCGGGAGATAAATTTAACCGGATACTGATCCAGCTTCTGCTCAATTTTGACAAGCTCGGACAAGCTTGTCCAGACTCTACCATCAGAAAAAATAATATTTTTTTCATTTTCCCGAATTCCCGTTATGCTTATTCGGCTAAAGAAAAAATCCAAAATCTGATTGGCTGATCATCTCGTGATTTATAGAAATTCGCCAGCTCCTGGAACTCTTCTAGAACTATCGAGAAACTAGCAGGGATCTAGGGTGATACATGTGATATAATATACATCATGTCACAAAAACTGATTTAGCCAAGCGCTGTGCATATGCATGTAAATATAAAATTAGCTTAGCCCGAGATATGATCCCTGATATGCTTGTAATCAAATAAACATAAATCTGATATTTTATTATAATATAGTTGTTACAAACTGTTATAAATCACTATAAATCGATAAAAAATAGTGAAATTGCTAAAAATACTATAAATTAATAAAATCGTTACATTCTGTTATAATCTAGCAAAACGCTAATATGAATTTAGATAGTAGAACCTATTCTAAGCTAATTGATGCAAATAATACTTATGGAGGCTCTGAAGAATATATAAGAATACTTGATGCAATATTGCCTTTAACAAAAAGACGTGATCACAAAATATCAGAAATGTGATGCTCTTGTATTCGTGATCCATTTAGGAAAATACTTGAAGGAAATCCAAGAATCCTTTCTAAGAATGGATATATTATAATGTATGGAAAGCTTTATGAAAATGATAAGGTCCATAATGGTTATCCAACCGATTATATTTATTGTAATGTATGTGACTCCTTAGTTTTCATACCTGGAACTGGCTATAACTCTCGTATCTATCATGATAGCCACTTGAAGAGATGTATTTCTGGAAATACTATTTCGAATGATCATGCGAGAAGAAAAGAAATTCTCCAATCTATTGATAGAAGGGAATTTCAGATCTGGCAATATAAACAATACATATTACAAGAAGAGGCTAAAATTAATCGTCTTCATCTAGAGCTTTTCTCCCAATCTACTTCACACTCGGAAAAGGATAAGTTGGCATCGGTATCATATGATCATGATGGGAATTTTACGGCTAGCTATAAAAATTATGCACAATCTAAAGCAACTGTAGCAAAAAATACTATGCCAAGTGCTCCAGATTTAAATCCATTTCGTGTTTTACCTGCTAGGCAAGAAATAGTTTCGCCAACTTCTTATCAATCATCAAATTGCAAAAGTAATACAAGTGAAATATTTATCTCGTCTCAATATGCAAAACAAAATAACTTACTACCATCTATAAATAATCTTAATCAGCCTGCATTAAGATTGGAAAATAAGACAAAAATCATGTTCATTTAACTGACTTATTCTGAGAAATATATTAATTATAAACTATTACTTTCAATTAAAGATTAATATCATTTAGCCAAAAATGCAATGTATAACATTCTTTATTTTTTGCGCTATATAATCTGCATGATCGCCTGGTAAAACTGTGAAATGCTTCATATACATAAAGAAAAATGTGATCTGCATATTCTGGGTTAGATCCTCCAATATACTGTATAACTATTTTAGTGAAGTATTTCAGAAAGATCTATGAAGCAGTCTTAGAAATTTTTGATTGCGAAACAATATAACTATCAGTTTGAAAATTTCTATGTAACAGTTATCCAGCGAGCTTATAAGAATTACAAAAAAAGACCCAAGTCTTTGGCAAAACAGGTTTGGGAGGTGGTAAGGAATGATGGTACTCCTGACAATAAGAAGTTTTTAGATATTGTTCCTCATGGTAAAACATATCATTTCATTAATGGAAAACTAATAGAATCTAATTATGTGAGTGACCAATTTATGTAAACAATAGGCATAACATTTATTTTGCTACTACTTGGGCAGAAGCGAAGAGAAATTAGTTATATGGACGATTATGTACTGTAGCATACCTAGCTACTTTTAGAGTATTATATCAGCAAGGTTACATAGTTGTTAGAGGTATAGCTTGGTATAATATATTAAAATGGTTAC